TTGTCTTTAAAACATTATGTGACGGGGCCATATCCAGACAAAAAAATCGATAATACAAAAAGAGTATTTAAATAACGATTAAATCAATGAAAAACAGCCCGAAGTCCTTATGAAGGAGTTACACTAACATATTCAAGCAATGTACTAAAATTTGTGTTGAAATCAAAACTACCTAGTAAATTTTTAGTAGAGTATTAAACAATCTTCAATTATCATATACAAATATTGAAACTATCATTGACGAAATTGTTTTTAATAATTGTATTGTTTAACTAAATCAATAAAAATTTAAAAGTATTAAATTCCATTTAATTTCTTTCTGGTTTTTTCACTTTTTTAACCCTTACAATTTAAAAAAAAATTTTCAGAAATCATGCATTTATAGCAGTACAACTGTAGTATTCTCTATAAATAAGTATTTTTAAGTATTATAGTGAAAATATATCTGCAAGATTAGACTCATAATCCGTAGTTATCCATATATGCATTCATATTATTTTTTGCATTGATATTATATTCACGACTTCTCTTACAGTTACATCGCAAACTATACTTTAAGGTCCAATTTACTTGGAACCTGTTTTTAGTTTTCTAGCAACTAAAGCAACAATGACTTCTCTGAAGACTCCACAAGTAGATACAAAATATCTATAAAGTAGATAAAGATTATTTCCATTAATAAATAAATAGATATGTCAGTAGAAATTAAAAAATCGCAAAATTTATCTTTTGAATGGGTCCAGTTTTCAAAAATAAAACAAAAAGTTCTTTGCAGTGGGCACTATGGTTCTGTGAGGCACATTAAAGAAGATCAGTCACATTTTGACGAAGATTTTGACAAGTAAAAACCTGTGTGCACTCTGTGTCACAAAAGTCAAAAGTATAGCATTATAATGATATGTTGCAATTATTCTAAATGAAACGGTCGTGCTTCTCAGTCATTTTGATTGGTGAAGAAACGTAGAAGTGACGAAAAAGAGAAAAATACTAACCCTTTACGATTTGATAAAAATGGTTCCCAATGAATGCGTCTCAAATGTTCAGAAGGCTCGATCTATTAAAAGACTTTGACCTTCATACTAAAGTCAATTCCGATCGAAGAGTATAAAATATATAATAAATATATATATTGAACAATGCTTAATTTTGTGGAGCTGAAAAAAAATTATTTTTAACAAATAAAATCTTTTAACATTTTTATGAACTTAAATTTTAGAAAGCTTTGCCACAGCTCTATCGTTGTCAGCACCCACCGCACAAAATAAAATATATATAAATAAGTGTTATATGTTAAATATTATTACAGTGATTATATTTTTACCAGCTTAATATAAATACATTTTTAATTTATTTCAAAGATTTCGAATTATATTACGATCTACATATCGCAGCATGTGTCTGATAATAATGTTTTAACTGTAAGCTGTGATGACAACAAATTTATATATAGTATAGTGCAAACTATTGCAATAGAACTTTATCAGAAAGCTTCAATGTATATTCAACACTCGAGACATTACCTGAGTTTCAGCTGTATTCACTTTAACTTTATTTTTTCGTACACTTAACTCCATCTGACGCATACATAAAAATGAAAATACTTATAATGATTTATACTCTTCTCATAAGATACTCCTCCTTAACTCTTATACTCGACACAAAAACCTTATGAATTATTTCTCTGGTGAGTGTGAATGCATATAAGTGACGTATGAGAAATGCATTTATACGCATTTATACTCGGTTTTCATGAGTGCATTCTGGGTATTAAAATTTGACTCTTTGCAGTTCTCTGGACCGTATGCAAAAACGGCTTAAAAGCTTATCCCTTTTTTGTTGAACAAAATATACATACATACTTAAAAATATAAATATTTTGTTGTTGAAAAAAAATTATTATTATGTTATTTAGACTTTACATCTGCATCATTCGCTCTGTACAAAAAATTTATTTATGTTACTAATTTGCTGGCAATTTACTTCTATTCAGGCATTTCTCAGACATTTAAATTTGTCTTTAGTTGTACACTATATATTTTTTACCAATTATCTGCTTCATGGAATTAAGTTTATTATCTAATATTTCTAAAAAAGGAAATTTTGTGGAATTATTGAAAAATTTAAACAAAATTAATTTTATTCCCTGTTCAACTGGACATTTAGCTGTTCTGCAAATCCTTTTTCTGTTTAAGTTGAATTTAACGGTATTGTTAGTCTGTTGAATTGGTGTAAGTTCATTACTTATGTCTTGAAACAAACAAAAAGTTTTAGCAGCATTTTTCTTTTTCACAACAAAATGTACAACAAAAGAGTACCATTCATTCACATTGATTTAAAAACATACAGATAGATTAGTCTTTTATAATATACCGTTAGTTGGAGGTCCAATTAACCATCACACTTGTCGATTCTTGTGTTTGATTTGTTCAGATTTATGTTTGACACGATTTCTCCAGTTAGACCTGTTATTCAGATGTAAACCAGAACAGAATGTCGCTCATATGACGTTATGTATTTGTCACATGAGTGTATTTGGACTCATTGAGTTTTATCTTCCAGTCAGTGCTGCGACTGTTTAGTGACACTTGATGCTTATTTGTGTCTGCTTCTTGTGTGATGTCATAACTTCTGTGTCACACGCATACGTTCCGATGAATGTTTGTCCTGCTGTAAGTATATCAGATGTATAGAATTGATTGAGTTTGGGTTTTAGTGCATTTCCCTGGGGAACTTCAACTTTAATATTATAAATGTTTGCCTTCATATATTACAATGGATATCCATTCTGATAGGTATTATTCAAGGAGTTGGTAACGGTAGGCCGGGTGCATATTGTTTATCTTATATATAAGATCTTGATGTCATACGCGATCAAATGCTTAGGACACATCTACATGCACTACGGAGAAGTATTCAACAGCATTTTTTGCCATTTCAGTAACTTGATAATCTTGATCAATAGTCGAACGCTTACTGCTAAATCCCAGACTTGATAGTCTGGGATATTGAATATGTACATATGTTATTATGGCAATTGATTTTTCTGTTGATTCTTCAGGATAGATTTCATCAGTTCCAGCCGCTTTTTTACAATTAATGTTTTTATCGATTCTTGTGCTATTTTTATAAGTATGCTACATACTAGTGTAGTAATAATATTATAAGAAATATTGTGTGGTTGAAATACTTTGACCAGATGTTGGCTTTCTTATCTATTTTTCTAACCCACAAGTTAGCTGTTAAAAAGACGAATTGCTTTCTATAAGGACAGATTTCTGGTTTTGTGTTATATGTCTTGGTTTCCTTAAATAAATCCTTGATTTTAACTGAATATATTACTTCCTAGGCAGTTTCTTCTTTTCAACTCGAAGTAACATCAGTGGCTACCGTACATATTTGTTCAATGTATATTCCACCTATTTTTCAAAGTCTGCCTATATAGTTCTTATTTTTTCTAAATTGATTCCAATTTGTGTACTTGTTGGTAAGGTTTCATTTGGTCTTCTTTTTGATGGCAATGAAGGTTGGTAGAAGATTTAACCAATGTTAAATGTTCTTTTCTGTTGCTATAAAATTATAAGATATTCCTTTTGTAATGAAAGAGTCTATTCGCATAAGATGTTGCTATCTGTAGGTTAATATGTAGGAGAACGAAGTGAGTGATAATTATAATTAGTTTCATAATCAGTAAGCAATTACGGCTTCAGGCTGTCTCCTCCAATAATGAATCTTGGTATAAATTTGTAGGAGAAATATTTTAAAGGTATTTTATTATGTAATTAATATTAGAATATAAATATAATGAAATATATTTAAAATCATAAAGAAGTACATATTTAAGTATTTATTATTATTAAAAACAAATGACCTATTTTGTTATAAAATATTTATACGTAATACATCACCTAAAAAAATCTTAAGAATTGCATATTTAAAATTGTTTAAAAAGACAAACAAAATACATGCGTTACATATGCAAACAGAACTTTCTCTACGTACGTAAATAAAATCGCAACAGTACATATTAGAAACTCTTCACGAACTCTAAAAATCTACTGCGTTCGTAAAAAAATCGTACTGAAATTTCATATGTGCACTTCATTAGTGAAAAAAGTAGTTGCGGGAACCCTAAATATTTGTACTTGCATTTTGTGAAAGTGAAACAAAAACACTGAAAATTCTTTAAAGTGTTTCGGATATGTACAGTTTATTAAAATTTTAAGGCTATTCTTTTGTAAGCATGTCGCAGAAAAACCGCTTGTTTTAAAAATAACATATAAAACAACAACACTGCTGGATTAATTAGTTCAACTCCTTTGAAACCGCTTAACTAATAAGCAGCTCAAATCGCATGATTGCCAACACTAAAAATTCGTCTATTACGAATGATTCGTGGAAATACGTACAAGATTTCCGGTTAACTGTCAACATATGTTTTAGTTAATTTATCATATTTCGTAGTTTCTACTTATTATGTTAGTATTAAAAAATTATTATTTACTTCGAAACTTTTACTTTAAATTTGTGTTTTGCAAATATGTGTATTTGTGTATTTGCATATATAAACCTGAAGGTATCAAAACAAAAAATGTCTGGTTTTGCCAGAGTTGCCATCAAAAGTAATGCTTATTTTATGTTGTTCTTTTGCGACATTCTTACAAAAGAATAGGCCTACTGCAATGTTTATTTTTGTTTTCTGATGAAAAGAAAACATTCAGATTGGAGTTTTTAGTTTTGATTGAAAGAGAAAATTATAAAATTGAACAACAAACCACGTCATGAATTTATGTTTACTGCAAACAAGATTTTATTTCTTAAAATATTTTTAATTTCAATGAAATTTTTATTTATGATATTTATTATGTTATAGGAATAATACAATTTAAACTTACTTTTTATTTTATTTTAAGAAATAATTTAAGAGCACAATTGGATTAATAAAAATTTAGCAAAGCTTTGTTTAAAATTTTTTTTAATAAATTAAATATAAAACTTATTAGAGATTCGGATAGTGTGCCCAGCGAAGACATGTCAACAATTGTCATCGAACTCGCAATGCTCTGCCGCAGGTATGTAGACTAGTTTTATGAATTTTAACATAATATATAATCTAAAAATCTGCACATGTTAAAAAAAAAAATTTTAAATATGAAATGAATACCACCTCAAAATTAAAAAATCACGTTTCCTAATGCATGACAAAATCCAAGCACTTAAAATTAGTCATAGTCAAGTTTGCTAAAAACGCATGAATTGATATTCAGTTTTGTATATAATTACTCGAATGCATTAAATTATGTGAACTAAAGCGGAGTGCATTTGGTAGCTGTAGCGATTTTTACAATACAGATAAGTCATGTCTATAATACAATATTATAAATATAATAAAGTATATATGTTCGTTTCAATTTTTTTGTAAGTTATATTGTTTTGGTTGTGATAAAACAGGAAGAACAGCCAATATTATATTATACAGCTTTTAATATTATATATATGAATACAGCGCTATTATTTAACAAAATTGTGTAAAAAACCAAAGTTGCGTCTTCTGTCTTCTGACTATTGACTAAATAGTTCTAATCAAATCATATGCATTTATATTTGTAGTTGCATGAACGGACAAATATTAAGTTTAAAAGAATTGCGTTATTTTTGCATTGACTGATATTTGTATTGTCCACTTAAGTTGATTTACCCAGAAAACTTAAATACTCTCTTTTTGTTTATTATTTTTTTACTAATATAGTAAACGTATTAACCAATCTTACTATATTATGTATTCTAATATGAGGCAAGCCAAAAACCCTCCAAAAAAGTATTTAAGTTTATTTTGGTAGAAAAGTTCATAGAAGTAAAGAAAATGTTATAACAATAAAAAAACTCTTTATTATTGTTGTTGTTTGTATGTTACTACTATTAAATAAAGGTGTATGTTTGGTTTCTATTTAAATCAAAATATTTTTTTTTAATAAACAGGAATTTTCTGAATTATTCGGCATAAAGGCAGGAAATTTTTATTAATGTAAATTTTAAATCAACATATTTTGCATATAAAAGTTAATTTGAAATAGTAAAATAAATAAAAACAAATAGTTCCATTCCAATAGTATTGTTAAAAGAACTTCTAACCATCTAAGTTATGAGTTGATCAGACACGGAGCTTAGAACCTGATATTTGGTAACTATAACATATAGGTATATCTCTTGCTTTTGCGTCAGCAATATTGTTTATTAAAAATTAAAGGGAGTCTGTGTCCACTAGATTCTGGCAGTATTAGAAATGGTGTGTATGTTTGAATCCTCGATCTGATATTAAAAATAGTTGTGGAATAAGCGTATTACTTTTATGAAAATAATTATTGGCTAGCAGCTGAGAGCGAAAACTACATCATATGATGTTACCGAATGAATCTTTTGGCTAAAGAGGAAATCAAATAAATCGCCTGACACATAATAACCTCAACAATTACAGGCAAATTGTAGCACTGATACAACACTACGACTAAAGTTCTGGTTCAGTGCTCAGTAGATTTTTAATTATTCGTCAATTTCTTGTTGGTGACTTATGGTTTCAAGATTGAGTGTAAGCAGGTTAATCACACTGATCACCGATGAATTGTCTTTAACCAGTTATCAGTTGCGTATTCGGTCTTCTGCTAAAAAAGGAATAATAGTGATTTGCGGTCTTTGTTAAAGGTGAAATGTCTGCCTTCAAGAAGATATATAAAATTATTAGTTGATAAATATATAGCTAGCAAATCTTGCCAAAAAAGGCAAAAGCAAAGAGTAGTCAACGTTATACTCCAGTACTGCCCCAATTGGTACAGTGGATATATTGTTGAGGTGGTTCATTTTAAAAATGCTCTTTAGGTTTTTACGGTATGCTGAGATGTTTCAAATATTGATTAGTATTTTATTGAGAATAGAGAAAATTTTAGAGCTGGAACTTAACGTTGAAAATATGCCAAAGGATCTAACAAACTTTTTAGTTTTGTCCGTAGTCGGAGTTAGTTTCAATAAAAATTCAAAAATAAGAGATACAGATTTTACATTAGGTATCAAAAATTTTATGAAAAAATCGACACAAATCCAAATATTTATTCATATATTTTATTCATATATTATTCATATGTTGGGATGGTTGTTGATGGTAAAATTTATACTTTAGGATTTGTATTGACAAATAAATTAACGTTGTTAAATCAATCAATTACATCGAAATGAGTCTCAAATGTGCAGTCAGATATGGTATCATGGTGGCAAATATTTAGTTTTCTTGCTAGTGTTACTGCTATATAGCCTTTTGCATTTTGGTGCCTTTACACCGGATTTAATGTAGCAAATATAAACCCTTTTGTTTGTTTCATGAAATGGCCTTATTCTGTGGACTTCGACTGGAGTTCAATCGTGACTTTACTTAATATTGTTACAATATGCCGCATTTAAGTTTTCTATGCATAAAAACGTTCTTCGAAGATAGACTTTCAAACTTGTTGTGAGGATTAATCGAAGACGGTGTGGATATGACAAGGTGAGGCGTGGAAATACTGTTGGAAATACTGTTTTTGGGCAAATGATTAATTTCCTACAATTATGCTGAACAAGACGAAAATACGGTGTTTATTAAAATCGAGCGTTTAATTTATTATTTGACAACGAAAAAAGGTACAATATTTGCACTTTAAAAGCTGAAATTACACATGTAATGATTTTAAATTGCATTTAAGTCGTACCTTCAATCTTTTCATCGCTTTGATTACATGCAAGGATATGTAATCTTCTTATTTCTAAGACTAATGCATAGGAATTGAAACCTAAGTGTTACAGAAAAGTATATTATACATAAATGTTATTGTTGTTTGTATTAAATTTTATATTAAATATTATTTATTCTGCATTTTTGTGAGTGAATTTCATTGATTTACATTTAATTTTTTCATATTAAAGCAGCAAGACGACAAGAAATTATAAAAATTACTGAACAACTTATCGAGGCTATTAATAGTGGAGATTTTGATGCATATACGTAAGTATTATCTTATACATTTCCGCGAATCATGCACTGTTAATCATTTTATGTGAAACGATTAATTCATCTCAACATATGGAACGATTACATTTTTTTTTTAAATACATTACATTTATTTATGAAATTTTTTCTCCTTAAGACTAACAATAAGTATTTAAATGTTAAAACTATTTACTACATTTTAATATTTAGTTTCATTTCCTTTCATTAAAAAGGTTGAGTTGCCTAACAGTTAGGCTTGTGCTTAACAATAAAAACAGTGGTTAATCAGTGAAAATGGTTTTATTGTTTTTCAAAGTATTCTCTATTATGATCAATATATTTTTGCATTTGATTGAACCAATTTTCGAAACAGTTTTGCCACTCTGAAGTTGGTGTCTCCAAAAAAGGTTTTGAATGTCTTAACTTGGGGCGTAGTAAAACGCTCGTCACGCATTATTTTCAAAATGTTTACGAACAAGAAAAAGGCATTGGATACCAAATCGGAGCTGTATGGCGGATAACCCATAAATTCGGCGTTTTAAGTGCTGAAGAACTCTTTTGTTTAAGCTGATGTGTGGGAGCTCTCATTGTCGTTGTGAAAAATGATTTTCTTTCGACAGCTGGTATTCCTCAATTCTCAAAAAACTTTGGACACACAAATGGTTGTGTACCACTCAGAATTTACCGTTCTCCGTTGTTTCAGTGGTACAGTTGCATCATGACCTGGTTTTCTGAAAAAATATGCAACTATTCGCTTGGATTTGCTCCGTCTGTGGACAAATTTGTCGGTTTCTGACACTTTGAAAGACCCAAACAGTGAAGTTTTGTTTCGAGCTTATAGGCATAGATATGTGATTCGTCACCTGTTACGATGTCGTAGACGTATTTTGAGCTACATCGGCCTTATTTTTTTAGCATAGTCTTATACAAATTAACATGTGCCTGCTTCTCAGCGATTATCAAATTATGAAAAATCTAACGGGAACAAATCTTTCTGACAGCTAAATGTATATGTTGAATTGAATGTTTACTGGTCGCACTAATACCCATGGGTACCTCCATTTCCCAGTTTTGGTCAACCTCATCTGAAGCTATAAAAATTAAAATTATAATGTTAATCAGTCCTTGATAAATTAATCTGTTTTTTGTGATTCTTCATCTTCAACATCGTAATGATTTTTAGTAACGATTGATAATATAGTGATTGCACATTACATAAAATAATTAAATAAACATTTATAAAATCGTCCAAAAATGCACCAGTTATAGCAACGATCCATTTCAACCATAGTGGAAACTTGCAGAGATATGCAAACTTCCTTTAAATTATAACCTTTTGCTCGCATCATAAAAATAATGTAGATTCATAACATTACATTTTACAACACCTGTCAACGAATAATAGGACATTTCTCTTTTCTTTTGCAAGTTACTTGTCCAGTTACAAGTGGATTATAACCACTTCTTGTATAAGTCACTTTTTATCCATAATTTTTTTTTTATGTTTTTCATTTTCAGTAAGTGATTTCTTCTTTAGCAGCGTGCGTTTCTGAACTTTCCAATAACTAGTAGCTTCAACTAATTGGTGGCATTATTTCCACCCATAATAGTAATTTTACCCTTATATTTCTTCCACAGATACATTTTTGATTTCTGAAGATGAGAGTCCAAGGCAGAAAAAATTTAATATAGCAGTCATTATGCAATTGATATTATTATTATAGTCTTCAATTAACCATGGTAGAACATTTTTGATCCAATTATCAGAAGTCTCCAAATATATGTCACCAGCAACCGCAAACGTTGTTTTTAAAAAACGTTTCTTTAATTTTTTCTAACCAGACATTACTTGGTGCAAAGTATGAAGGAACTAACGCTTTTGGAAACTCTTTCTGCATTGTTTCTTTTTTTTGCTCTTTCTTGCACAAGTGGTCTAGATATGGGCATATTTGTGTGGTTGTAGCTATTACCTAGCTACATATATAAGTGCTTATGCTTGTATCTATATATATACAATTACATCTCATTTTTAATGCGATTTATGTGCGTGATTCCTGAATGTTTTTTTTTATTATTCACAATGGTCGGAAGCCTGTTAGTAGGTATTCCATATTCACTCGAAACATATTTATTTCCTTTAGTGCACTTTTAGATCTCAGCATTTAAACTTAATTGTTCAATAATTGAAAAGGAATCAGTGTCTGCAGCACTTTTACTCAATATTATTTGTGATCACTTGGGTGACCCACTGTAATAAGAGTTCCATTCAATCAGTTATTTTGGCGATTTTATAGAAGTATAGCTTGAAGCCCAGTATATTTTTTAACGAAATATATATTGCATTTGTTTTAAGATATGAATTAGTGTATGAATTCACAGAATCACGAAATGTGAGCGACTCTGTTTTTGATGTCTGTTAGCACCTCTGTCTGCACGCTTGCGGCTCCTAAGTTCTCGTGTATGCCTTTATTCCCGATATACCATTATTCCTGATTAATCGTACTTCTTAAGAAGCATTGCCATTAAAAGACAACCATGTCGTATTTTGGATCTAATTAATTGCTTAGTAGAGTCTTATTTTTCGTAATAAACTTTTCTTGTATTAATGGTTACAGAGCATTGTAACGAAAATAGTTTCCGCTTTTTAAATATTTATATTAATTCTCCACATTTTACAGCATTTCATTACCTTGTCAAAATGAATTTTAAAATTGCTTAGAAATTGTGGTCAGCATAGAGCGGAATTGAATTTGTATATTCCGAAGGAAAATCTGCTGTATGTAAATTATGCAATAAAAGAGACAATGGAAACCTTCAGACCACCCGCTTTAATTGTCTTTGTAAATGAAAACTGAATTTGAACTTAGATTAAGATCTCTTTATTTGATAAAAAGCTTAACCATTTCAAATTGCATATCGTAATGTTTTTGTTTGAAGAAGAAACCTTCCCAAACGTCTTAGCGAGACAAGGACAAGTTCCAGTTTTTACTTCACTGAGAGCTTTTTTTGTACTTTGACAGCACTTGCCAGCTAGGAATTAATGGAAAATTTTTTCTGAAACTGTCCTTTGTGAATAGCTATACCTTTAGCTATACTCAAAGGTATGGTTACGTCTCAGAATAACAGCATTGATGTTTTTAGAAGATCAAAGTACTTACAAGGACCGATATGATGTAGAGAAAGATGATACGTATTTTAAATTGTTTTAGCAATCTTTTTTATATTGCTTTGTAATTTAAAAATATTACCTCCATAAAACATTTCGCCAACTAGAAACTTTTTAAATTGATATCAATAAGTACTTGTTCTTACAGCTAGAAGATGTAATATGAATTTTTATTTAACGTAAAATAACTGACAAATAAGAGGAAATAGGCAGACCATAGCTAATATTTAAATTTTTACAAATGTCTATATCTAATATATGACCCAAGTTGCTATTTCCATAATGGTACACTTGTTTTTTTGATTATAGAGTAGTGACTGCAGTCTTTCTTTATCATAACTGCTGTTCCACCACGAAGTTGTGATATTATTTAGTTTATTCAAGATTTTAGAACCGTTTTTTTAATCAGTTGGACATCAATTGCATGATCAAGAAGAAACCGTCGAAATTCGCATTTTCAAGGTTAAATATAATTACATTCCAAAATATAGTTTTGATATAGTCCTTAAACTTTATCAATCGGAGAATTAACTAAAATCATCACTTGTAATATCAATTGCATTATAACTTTTATAGAGTTACTAATCTACTCATTCAGAAGTAGTTTAGTATTTCAAAGTACTAGTTTTTCAAAACTATATGGTGTTCCCTTATTTGCTTTACTTTGGAGGTTCTGTGTTGCATCTCGATTAGATCAAAAGATCTCAATTAGGAGGTTTGACCTTATTTTGCCTACTATTACAAATATAATATGCATTTAAAGTTTGAATCGGTTTTATGCATTTAGTGAAGTAGTGAAGTAAAACAAAATAAAAAAGCTGGCAATAATGGAATTGAATGATTTCTATTTAGGGTTTTTCAGCTTCAGTTTCAACTTTTAAATAGCGGCTATATGATAGATTAGAGAGAGATGGCCATATCTTTAAGCAGTGATACTTGAAAATATAAAAATCATTTGTTTATAGATCTTGTTTAATTTCTTTGTAATACAAACCATTCAAACCGTGAATTACTAGATTAATGCACTTCTCTTCAGAAAAAAATATAAGTACGATATTAAGGTTTCATCTCAGTGGAACCTATTTGCACGCTAAGATGGAGTCTTTTTTCAGATTCCATTTTATTCCTTTATGGTTAGTGAATTTAATTACTGAATTATTTTTCAGTCTCCCTTAGGACAACAGGAATTTTTTAAACATTTAAGGTTACTTGATGTTCTTTAGTTGTAAATATTTCAAAATCTTGACATTTGCAAATGATTTCGCGTTCGGAATTCTTCTTAAATTTAGAGTTAAGATTTTTAGAGTTTCTTAAAAATACGTAATTATGTTACTCTAAAAATATGTATTTTAAGCAATATTATTTATCAGAACCTATATTATTATTTTTTTATTTTTGTTATCGTTATAGTAAAATATGTGATCCCCATTTAACTGCATTTGAACCTGAAGCATTGGGAAACCTAGTTGAGGGGATTGATTTCCATAAATTTTATTTTGAAAATGGTATGTAAAAATATATTGTAATGAAAAATATTATAAAAAATACATTTTAGTACTTGGGAAAAACTGTAAAGCCATCAATACCACAATATTGAATCCACATGTACACTTGCTTGGAGATGATGCTGCATGTATTGCATATGTACGTCTAACACAATATATCGATAAGTAAGTAAATATTATAAATTTTATGTTTAAATTCTAATATTATAGGATAGCCTTCCCCACAAAGGAATTGATAATTATAACATAAAAACCCTCAGAAAAACATAAACGTCCTGTTATAAACCATATCTGATTAGAATACTTGAATATCAGAGATAATAGTTCTGTGTAGAAATTGCTAGACACTTTTGTTAAACGGTTTTTCAGAAAAGAAATTTTTTAAAACAACTAAGTTTACAAATATAGGTAACAAGTTTTAGTAACAAACAATAATATCTAAGAGAATCGGTAGATAATAGGTACTAACATTTTTACAAAAAATTAATAAAACGCAAAACGCAAAAAACATCAACAAATAGCAAGTATGATTCACTAAAAGGAACTCTCAGGGAGGTCTGGTCTGAACAGCGTCAGAAACGGAAAATTTTGTCCTTTCCATGACACGTCGTCTGTAAGCAGTCATAGAAACTCGTAGCAGTCCAACAAAATATTAAAGTTTTATATTTTGCTGAAAATTTTGTCGATTTTTATGGTTTACATACAATTTTTATTATTATTATTTTATGCTTGCAATAAATTAAATAAATTAAAAACAATATTTTAATTTTTAAAAATTTATGAAATAAAGTAAAACTGCATACTCACAATTTTAGTGACATGTTTAATTTTCTTTAAACTCTGTATTTTAAGGGTGTATTTAAACTGTTGTCCCTGATTGTATATTGTAATGGAATATAATGTCGCAGAAGAATTGGCGAATGCCGTCATTAATCCGACATAATATAAGAGATAGTAATTATTAAGTAACAATCGCGATAAAGTTGGGGAAATAACAATTCACATGGAGGTTCGCTACTACGCACCGAATCTCGTACATAATATCTTTTTTTTTAAACAAATATGAAAATGACAGCAAATGCATACAGTATTTTTCTATACAAAATTAAACTAATAAATTGTAATGTACTAATAAGCTAGATAAAAAAAAGAGATTTATATATTATCTGTCTTATATACTCGGATAAAGTACCAAATAACTGCCTAGCGCAATATCGTAAATAAAGCTCAAGTATCATAAGACATTCTTTGCTTAGTATCGACAATTTAACAAAGATAAAAATTTTTTGTATTTCAATAGTGCGATATAGTGAGTAGTGTGGAAAAAAATAATCTAATCATTATATGTAGTATTTGTCTACTTTTCTCTTACTATTTGAGTGTAGTCTTCGTTTTTGAAAGTTAATCAATTTAACAACTTGCTGTTTTGACTCTAGTGATAAAAGCAGAATGGTACACAGACTATCGGGTCATCGGTTAGTAATAAAGATACAATTTGTTTAAAGTGTTGAACTAATGAATTAACTTCCGAAGTAAATGTTCTTTAATGGGAACCACACCATATTTGTGTAAATATATATTCCAAAATTATAACCATAATTTATAGGATTTTCCGCAAATATTCGCATGTCTCTTAATCATAAGAAATTCTCATTTTGAGTACTTTTTCGTTAATATTAGGCAAGGTCATGCACATACACACCAGTCAGAAGAAACTCGAGTTTGGCATAAGCGGGACAACAAATGGCAAAATGTTCATTTCCATAGAAGCGCATCTGCCAAAATAAGTGGAGCAACGACATTTGATTTTATACTTCAAAAGTGAAAGTAGGTGCCATCATTTGACTACAAGGAGCGGAAATGCAGTCAATAATGTTAGTGGATACAGCTATTAACAAAGTTTATACAAAAAAGCACAATTTCAAATAAATATTGAACTAGCTAAAAAGTTAAGCATTCAAACTACATATTTGCAAAAAGATTTCAATTTATTTAAATATCGTAATAGTGAATTATTGAAAAGTACTATTAATCATAACACTAAAAATCATCATTCGTTAAACATATAAAAATAGAGATAAATTTAATTATAATAATATTAATTCAAAATAAAAATAGTAAAAAATTTAAAAAGTGAATTTAACTTGCAATTTTTAATAGAAAATTAATAATATATGTATAGTTTTACGGGATAATATATACTAATTTTTTCTTGTCTAAATATATAAAAATGTTTACACAATAAACTGTAAAATCTTTGAATTCGATAATTGGAAAAATAAAAACTAGTTAAATATTAACAAGCTATAAAAAATATGTGCAATGATTTATTTATGTAATTGTTTTTATATATAAAATACTGTAATTATACTAGACGATATGGGTCTAAAAATAATTAATATATTAAGCATGCAAAATTTCCATCATTTTATCACATACTCCAACTCTAACATAAGCTAAAAAGTTTATATATAAAACATAATATGTCAAAAAATCTTTTTCAAATAACTAGCTCCTTCATAGTTATATGGAATTACACAAATATTTTAATACTTATGAAAAACAGCAACAATTATTTGTGGAAATACGGCAGCGCAAAAATATATAATCCCTTTAACCAATTTCATCCCAATCATTCGGTTTTTCGAAAAGCAATTGATTTACCAACTTTTGCATTTAGTTATCGATATTATTGATATATTAAAATTAACTTCTAGTAAAATAGAACAAAATGGATTAAGTGTTCCAAATAAAGAATCCTTACAAGAACTTATCAAAGTTTTATATAAAAAAAACTAAGACAAGCATCTGTATTTTGCAGCCAACAAAACAAAAATAATATGCCAAACAATTTTTTTTAATTTTTGTTTTCATACTAACAATACTAATATTAGTAAGTTAGTATGATATTATACTAATATTTTTGAAGATCAAATAGTCAAGAAAAATTACTTTTTGATAGAAATTTCAAGATATTTTTTGCTTGGGATGAAATGTAATGGGTACATGTAAACAATTTTTATAGATTATTAATTGTTTTAAAAATGATTGTGAACGTGCAAATATAAAAGTTTATATATATGAGAAAAAAATACTTATAACATTTTACAAATTTCAAAAAAACGCATTACATAATACATATACATTAAGAATTACTCTAAACTTTCAAGCCATTAAAAAATGAATAATATATAAATATAATTGCTATACAACATTCTCGCCATGATTGATAAGCTGCTTTAAGTCTAAAATACCCAAGGCTTGTTTATATATATTTATCACTAAACCCTGATTTCTTTAAGATACCCGTTTGATATCTTTGTAACATAAATTACAACTGAAGCAGTTCTTTATGTTTAATTTTTAATTGCTATAATATATTAATTAAAATGACTATATTAAATTATATTATATAAATTGATAGAAATAACTAATTAATTAGAAATATAATATATATGAATTTAAATCCCAGAAAATTAAGAATGTGATGAAACAATTTCTTTATTATAATAATAACGCAAAATTTGAATTTATATAAACCAATTTTAATTCGAAATAAAATTACATTCTTGCACCTAAAGCTTGATGCAATAAAAAAGTTATTTCGGTGAATAAAATCAAGTGAAATATTTTTATTTCATTAATATGAAAATAATTGTAAAATTACTTGGAAAGTGTTTCTCTTTTATATTTGACTTTTTCTACAAACTCATTCTCGAAATGGCAGCGATTTTACTCGAAAACAAATGATTTATTCAAATTTTTTTTATTGAAAGGTTTTTTTTTAATTTTTCAAATATTTTTCTTATTATTGAGTATTTAAATTCACAGATCCCTTTAAAGAAATATGTATATGATATGGAAAGAAATGACCTTTCACAGTGAATATGTAGACTTAACCGAAATTCTCAATGCAACAAAAATTTTGCAACTTAAAATTTTGAAAATTAAATAGAATATAACATACATAATAATTATAAATTCATTTTAATTAGTTTATGTAAATAGCACAATATTCATGCTACGTGCACATATATACTAATTTGCGGTTAAAATACAAATAATATTTTAAAAATATGTTTTGAAACCAAACAATAAATTTCTTTTGTGTTAATTGCCGGATTCGAATATATTCCACATCCATTTTTTAAATTCAAATTGCTCTATAATTTTAAATAAAATAAATTGTTTTTAAAATTCAGAGGATTGTGCCAGCATTGCCACATATGATTTTTCATACTTTCGACTTGTATAACACAACACAGCAATAATTGAAGCTTGCTGCAATTACGTACCACTTAAGCATAACATAGACGATGATACATGTATGCACACGAAGTATGCAGACCAAGTATGAGCTTTGCTATACACTTTGAAACAAGGTGTAATTTTAAACTCATACATGTCTGTAGACTGATATTTGGTACGCATACTTGTAGACACACAATGCGATTTGGTAGCATGTCATACTTGATTTGCATACATGTAGCAACGTCTATATGATGCTTTACCAAATCAAATTTGTATTCAATATTAAACTCGCATTGCAATTTATTGAATATACAATATTTTAATACCAAAAATACTCAATTAATGTTACATTTAGTAACTTAGTAACTAAATCATGTAACACGCATAAATTGACCAGCTACTTTTATATTGGTTTAAATACATAGTCAGTGACGTTTACAGAAACACAGAGGGGATATTTTTGAAAATTATTTTAAGTTCTTATGAAAAGATTTGATTGAAGAAAATAATTTCATATCTCGTGTTAAATGATCCTAAATATTTAAAGAGATTTGGACTTTACGCTTCCCTTTATAGCTATTGTTAATTACATAAATAATTTCTTATATTTTTGCAACAATTAAATAAATTTATAAATGGCCCAAACAAGTTAAATGAGTTTGATTAAGTTAGGCTAAAAAAGAGTAAAGACAAAAAATAAAGCTTGATTATAATCCCTTTTAATACTGCATTGAAAATGTCAATTTTGATTACTAATTGGTATACTACGATTACCATGCTCTCAAAAGAGGCTCAAAATAATTAAGGGAACTTAGTAAAATTTAAAATGTTTGCATTTTTTTCTTAAAAGTAACAAAATGCACGTTTCATAGCATAATCGTTCAAACTGACGTAAAATAGAAACGAAATCTTTTCCAAAATACTAGTACTGAAATCATTTCTCAGGCTTTGGTGTCGCATATCACAAGTGCCATATGTATCAAAGGAAAATCATGATTTATTTGCAATCAGTGCAATTATATATATGGCCAGTTGCACTCAATGGAAATGCTTAAAAATTGCCAACTGTGATTAAGGTGAAGTTATATTAAGCCCTTTGAAATCTCTACTCGTTAAGTGTTTTTATGACTTACAGAAGGGGTATTTGAGTTAACTCTCTGGTCCTAGAAACCAAATAATTTGAAAAATTTATGTTCGAAAGAAGACTCAATTTTTAATCGTTACCGAGATACAGTGTGTCAAAGAAAAATCTACTATGAAAAGAACTTCATTCAAAATATCTTAAAAACGGTTCATTTATATAGTTTAAGTTTATTCCAGTCTGTGTCAGCGTATTTAAAAATATTCAAAAGTTGTGGTAGAAATTATAATTGAATTTTTTTATACCAAAATAAATAATTTTAAAAAAATTTGAGACAAACGAAGTTTTCTTCTAAAATCATCGAAAATTTTCCAAAAAATTCAACTTTAAATCACAATTATGTTTGAAATTTTAAAGGACAAATTAAAGTTTCAAATTAAAGGATATTTGATGAAATAAAAATTTTTTCGACACTGTCTGATTTACTTAGAAAACAGATCCCTCTTTTTATACGATTTTATCGTTTACATGCATCGAGACATTAGGTCAGGAATTTACGGTATTTAAATACCCTGTGATATGATGTATTTATAATATATGTATACAAATATATATATACATGCATTGACGTATATACATAGAGTAATATACAATTTAAAAATGTGTGTATGTATATATTAGTTTGTACATATTTAAATATGTGTCGGGGTTTAAAGTGGTGAAAAAATGTTTTCGATTATTTAATAGGAATAAAGTTTGTAGTTTTAAAACACCGATATGTACATATATATGTCTATATAAAACCACAGGATCATGCACATTACAGTAGCTATCGGATGTAACGTGTGAATTTCGGTGATCCTTCTGTGTAATTACAATTAGTTCCATTGATTTTTAGCTAGCTTAAACCCACTAATTTAGAATTTATTTGAATTGAAAATTGAATTGAATTTATAAAAATAAATGGAAACACTGCACTTCAAAACGATATTAATGAAATGAAAATAAAAATTATTGGATTATTAATAATTTATTTACTAACCCAAAAATTCTTCTTAACAAATATTCTAAAGCATTTTTAATATGTCACAGAACTATATGTTTGTTCTTTATGTACTTAAATTAATGACAGCAATGTTATAAAAACAGAGCTCATAGCTAATTTTAAATGGATAACGAATGTTATCAATTTCGTGTTAAATTATGCTACTTACAATATTGACTTTTTCTTATATGTATATTATTATTAATTAATTCCGACATCTGAAAGACGTTATACGTTAATAAATTTATTTTAAATGTATATTTGTCCTTTTATTGTTATATTACTTTTATATATTTTTATCTCTTGTATTTTTAAACTAAAGCTTAAATTTGTGTGTTATAAATAAAAATATAGATATGTATAAGAAAACATAATTATAGGTTAACTAAAGCATTTCCGATTATGATTATCAAAATAATGTACTGAAAAATATATCCAAAAATAAAAGAGAATGTTAACAATTTTGATTCATTAAAGTATTTAACACAAATTATCTCTTATCGCGATTTTACTGAAAACTCTAAAATACTTATGACTATGTATCCAGAAATAAATTACTTAATAATGTTGAATAGCATTTTCGAGAACGATGCTTGAAATTGATCGGATACTAGAATAATATATTACTAAATCACTGAATTGTATGTAAATTATGCTACAGAGAATTATTCAAAATTTAATTAATTTATATAATAAT